TATTGATCACATTTGATCTTAATTCAAGATTCATAACATAATGTAGTGTCCGATTGAATTCTTTTATTGTATTCAATTTCTTCATCTCGAGTTCTCATTGAGCATATTTAACTAATTCAATTTCATATCTCTATGTGAATCAACTTTAGTTAAACGAAACACTAGTTCTAAAAATTCATATTATGACTGCAATAATTAGTATATATATCTCTACACGTGATACTAATTTATCGAATTTTATTATATGATCTAAATCTTAACCTCACATCTCGATTCTTAAGAAACTCACATAATTATCAAATTATTGATAAATTAATTTAATACATTAAATTCATAATAAAACCAACACATATATAATACATCTCGATACGTAAGATACTCACATAATCATCAAATTATTAATAAGATAATTTAATACATTATACTCGTAATAAAATCAACACATAAATAAATAAATTACAAAAATCTTAAATAAAAAAATTAAAGGATCACAAGTCGACTATATTTTTTTTCCTAATATAAAAATTAGTTATTCATATTGTAAAAATAAAAACACGCAAAAGTAGAATGATATCACCAAAAATTGACAAAATGTGAAAATTTCTAGTATTTGCAATTTCCTTTCTTTTTCTTTTTCCTTCTCTTGTCTTCTTCTCTGCCTTTTTCTTGTTTTTGACTTTTCCACGTTTTTCACCGCCTCTCTCATCTTTCCTTTTTTTTCCCTTTTCCTTCTTTCCTTCTGGCTGAGCAGTTTTTTTCTCCTCTGTTTTTCGTTTTCTCCTTTTGTGTGCTCGTTTCTTTCTTTTTCGCCTCCGTCCTCTCTTTCTGTGTGTGTGTGTGTGTAGGCATGGGCGGACCCAAAGGGGTCCTAGGGGGCATGTGCCCCCCAACTTTTGAATTTTTTTTAATATATAAAATCATGTTTAGTATTGATTGAAATATAAATTTTAATCTAAATCAAAGTTAACGGTTAATTTTAATAACATGTTTCATGAAATCCATAACTATTTAACTTTTATAAAAAAATTACTAAAAATTTGATTTTAATCTCCCTCAAACAGGGCAAAATCACAATAAATTTTAATTTCTCTCTTTTTCTCTCAATTTTTAACAAAATCTTAACTATCCATCGAACAAGTGCGAAATATTATATTTTTAATACCATTTCGAAGTATTCACGTTCTAATTTTCTATGTCGTTAATTGCATACGAAACGATCAATCGTAGCAAATGCTACGATTTGTCAAATTAAGCCGTTCAAAATTATTATTTCGAAAATTTCGACAATATGCTAACTTTAAAAAAATTTCGATGATCGTACGCTAATCGAATCTACAAATTATTTATGTAATCTTAAAATTTATTTCGAGAACTAAATTATAGGCATATCAAATAATCCAAACAGATATCGAAAATAGTTACAAATGCGTTCAACGTGAGTTTTAAAGAAAGACGTTTAACTCGCATTTTCTTTAAAAAAATTCAATTATTTAATTAACATTTATTATTTTTACAATACAAATTTCTCAATGCAATTTTCATCATTTTATTAGGAAATTTTATATGAAATATGACAAAAAAAATTTCGAAATTTTACATTTGAAAAAGTCATATATCATGGGATATGATTTTTTTGGACATAAATTTTTTGATTGTAAAATTTCTCCCAATTTCTTTGGAAGTTCGATTGTGTCTCCCTAACTTTTAAATTCTGCGTCCGCCCCTATGTATAAGTTTAAATATATATAGGTTTAATTTGGGTCTCCAATTAAAATTTTCAATGTAAATCTATTGAGGCCTACTTAATTCCAACTCATTTAATGTATTATTTCTTTCCAATGTTTCATATTAGGATTCTGCCATTTTTCTCCACTTTTGCATTCTTTTCTTCAATTATTTATTAAAAATAAAATTTTACCTACAAAACACAATATAACATAAATTAGGTAGAATTTAATTCAAAAGAAAATAAAATATCATAATTTAGGGCCACAAAATAAGTGTATAAACTACACTTATCAGTGTTCACACTGCTGTGTAGCGACGCTGTGATCACCGCGTGCATGTGACTGTACCGACTGAACAACATCGCGATGCTGCCTCATTGAAGCTTCGTTGCACATTGCGACACTGCTTTGCAATAGCCGGCATTGGTGTTGACAATGTTGACATATGGTTGATTTCATCTTTAATGTTTTGATTATAACAAATAAGATTAATATTGTTTCTAACAATTGATTTTGAGTAATGATAGTTCAATATTAAAATCAATCAAGTATTACCTAAATCAACATATAAATTGGACTTGAAATGAAGATCAAAGTGGAAGTTAAGCATTCAAGTCGAATAATTCCAGACAAGAGTTTAAAAGACAAACGTCAAGAAAAAGTAAGATCAAGAGTATGAGAGATGACATCAAAGCAAAATCAAGACGAGAAGTCTAAGAGACAAACTTTGAAGTAAGATAAAAAACTAGACTTTTTTAATATAAATGTACTAATATTTTGATATTTAGTAATGAATAATAAAAGCTCAAAAATCGATTTATGCAAGAAAATATTATTTCATTAAAAAATTTATATAAAAAAATTATTTTTCAATTTCAACTTGATATTACTTACTCATTCAAAAGCCAACATTTTCGAGAAAAAAAAAGTTAAAGCCAAAGTTAAATGGATTTCCGGTCACCAACGGTTATTTTTTTATCTGTTTTAATTTCTGATGCACAACGGCTAGTTTAGTCAACCGGTTCAGTGGCGGACGTCCGGTTGGACAGAAATTTTGGACGTTTTGACCGCTACAAATACCACTTCACTATGCATTCATAAACAATTAGAAAATAGTTTTCTTGTGAAATATATTTGTGAAAAACCTTCTTTGAGTTTACATTTTTACATTCATTTTATTTATTTCTTCATAATAAAAATTCTAATTGTTGAATCAAACTTCTTGAATTATTTCTCTCATCAAAATTTTTCATTTCTCTTCGTGCTTAAGTTATTTATATCAATCTTAAAAAATAAATATAGTTTTGAAGAAGATTTTTGCACTTACCTTACATAAGTTTTTCTACTTCTTCATATTAAAAATTTTGATTGATTAAATCAAACTTGTAAAATCATCATATTCATCAAAACTTCTGATTTTTCTCTTCGTACTTAATTTATCACAATTATTCATTAAAGATAGATATATTTTGAGAAGATTTTTGAACATATATTGTATTTATTTCTTATTCATCTTCTCATTGAAACACTTTAATTGATTGAATCTAATTTTTGATTATTATATTTATCAAAGTTTTTCATCTAACACTTGGGCTATCATTTATTACTATTCATTGAAGTGTTAGCCGCTTTTAGTACTTAATTTGTTTGTATTATTTATAAGAGAGGTATTCCATTGTAAAATCACTTTGATAAAATGTGGGTCATGTTGAAGTCCCTTAAAGATCAACATTGTATAAGAATCGGTGCTCCTTATTTGTAAGTTATCGTGTGGTGAGGTCCCGTGAAAGCTCAATAGTGGGTCATGTTGAGGTCCCATAAAATTTAACATTGTATAATGATCAGTACTCCATGTTATAAGTCATCAGAAACGTTGTAAATGGTTGTATTGCATCATAAGCCAGTCAACATAGTGAAAATGTTTTGCTTGTATCGAAGAGTTTGGTTACGAAGGACGTAGATAATTAATTTGGATCAAACCTCCATAATTATATTGTTTGCATCATCTCTCCTTTTTACTTATCGCTTTTATATTTGTGCTTATTATTGGAATTAATCTATTTAATCTCTACTTACTTGAATTTAGATTAATTATTCGAAAAATTTTTAAAAATCAATTCACCCCCCTCTGGATTAGTTATTCTTGGGCTATTAGACAGCAGCACCGCGAATGCTAGCGTTTTTTGTGACAATGAATGGTAGAGTTGCTCGGCACTGGGAATGATAGAGCTGCCCAACGACAATAGAGCTACGATGATACCGACCACCATAGAGGAAAATGAGGGAAATTAGGGTTTGGGTAAAGATTTGGGGGCTGGGGCCTCTAGTGTAGTTTTTGAAATTACAAGTCCTGCTTGCAATTTCAAATTGGGGATCAGTTGACAAATGACGACGGTGGGGGTGGTGAAGAGCATCTGTGACCAATTATTTGAGTAATTGTAACCTATAAATTTGTTAGTTTGTGGCGATTATGTTGTTGGCTGTGATGGTGAGGTGGTTGTGGGTGGGATGGCGTGGGTGGGGTTTGTGACCAATTATTTGAGATTGTGATAACTAAATTGGATATTTTGTGATCAATGCGACCAATAACTTATGATCAATAAATAATATGTAACCTAAAAATCTGAATCGTGACTTATAAAATTTATGACTTGTCACTTATAAATAAATTGTGCTCTATAAAATTTTTAATTTGTGATCGTAAAATAATTCGTGACCTATAAAATTTTTTATTTGTTATCGATAAATAATTTGTGACCAATTAATTTAATAATTTGTTATCAAATTGTATAAGATTTTGACTTTAAGATATTTAATTAATTACTTCATAAATAAATTTTAATAATATTTGATTTTTTGAAATTTTACAACTTATTTCTTAATTTTGAAATAAATTATAATTAACCTCCCGAGAACTTGTTTGGTAGAGATTAAAATTGGATTAAAATTAAAAAATTAGTCGTTATCGTTGACTTTTATTAGACGAGTAGAACCAATAACGACTACATTTTCAATTTTAATTGGATTAAAATCAATTCCAGCTCTGAATAAGAAATTTCCCCCCTCGAGCTTTAAAAGTAATATTATTTATATTTTATCAACTTTTCTATTGCATAGATTTTTAAAGCGTGGAAAAGTTGATACAGTTTTCAGTTTTGAATGTCCCACCATCTTCGATTTCTTCATTTCTTCTCTTTTCTTCTTCGCACCGAACCCTAATTCCCACTGCAAAACCCTCAATTTGGTTATAATCACGATACCATGAGCTCAAATATGGATCATTCATGGCGCCCTAGAATACCACCAGGTAATCTCTGTCCAATCTGCTCAAATTCACACTTCCCATTTTGTCCTCCACCTTTCCCAGATTTCACCAGACCACCCCACAAATTCCTGCCACCTCCACCACCTCAATACTCAGAACAATTCTACCATCGACCCCCTCCCCCACGACCCCCGCCACTACAGCCGACGAATGGTCCATTTGTCGATCATCATGGGGGACCCACAATGAAGTCTTATCCTCCACAGCAGCGGATATCTAATGGTAATTCCAATTTTAATGGGGACCCATATGGGAATATGCATCCTGGGTATGATTTTAATAATGGTCAAGTTGGTGTAAAGAGAATGAGATCCGAGGATTCCCGCCTTCATCCAGGTCCGTATTCATTGCGGGTTTTGGCTGAGGATGAGAGGAGATTGAAGTTGATACACGATCATGGAGCGTCGAATCACAATTTAGGTACATTTTACGAGGGTGGATGTAAGATTTCAGGTAATAATTTTGAGAGTGATTTTCATGATCTGGGTGTTGGCCGTTTTGAGAGGAATGGGGGAGTTTATAGTGTAGAAATTGATTCAAATATGAAGCGAAAACGTGCAGAGCATTTTGAGTATCAGCATAGTGAAAATAATAAAAACTCATATAACCAAACAGGGAGTAATTTGATTCAGAGTCGTGCATATGGAACTAATGGTCATGAGGCTGATGGTTACAATGATGCATTATATAAAGAGCAGAGAAGTTTTCCTCAGGGAGACGCGGAGTTTCACAATCAGTTTCCAGAGTCGTATACTAAGCAACAATATTTAATGGAGCCAAAACCTGCCCATTATAGTTTATCAAATTTGAGTGGAATGAATATGGCTCCCATACAGGATTCTCAGGTGTTTAGTGGCCAGCCCCCGCTTCCAAATTCACCACCGCCACCCCTTCCCATGGCGCAGCCGGCGCACCATTTGTCAGGGCGGGTTGTTTCATTGTCTCCAGCAGGAACAAGCTCTTTGTTTCCACTTCGAGTTGATTCTGCAGCCTCTTTACAGTCATCAAACACTGCAGTTTCTGAAGCCATCTCCTCAGGGGCGATGTACTATCCAAATAATGCCAATCTGAATTCAAGTGGTAATCCAAACGAGGTATGCTATTGAGTGCTTTATTGTTTCTGCCTATCCACTAAGGTCATTGCATTGAAGTTATTACAATTTCAATCACAATATAAGGTGATGACATAAATCAACTTGAAAGTAGAAGTTTTTGTGTGCTTACAAGTAGCTACGCATTGTTTGCGTTAAGCAGTGATATGACATGAAAAGATAGAATTTCACTGGTCATTTTTAGAAGATGCAACTTAGCACCAAATTCATAGAAAATAAGGATTCATACAACCAACTCAAGTTTATTTAAATAACTCTGAGGTGTTCTTATTTTTTGGCATAATGGTTATGGAATTAAAGGTTAGTGCTTTTTGCTTGCATGCTGATTTAGGAATATAGGGAATGAGGTCAATGCCTTTCCATGCAGACTCTGAATTAATTGAAACAATAGATTGGAACCTTGTGAACCTAGAGTGCCTATTTACTTTTTGTTGGAACTGAGAAAGAAAATCTCTCAGACTTCTGCACTCCATCTTCCCATATTGTTGTAATTTATTTATCCTTTTCTATTCGGGCATTACTCTGCAGTATACCTGATATTCTGATAATTGTGCTTTACAGGAAGTTCGTGCAATGCAGATGGCTCCATCCAAGTCAATTTTAGGAGAAAGAGAACTGTTTCCTCCGCGGCGTCTCTCTTCTGATGAACCGAAAGTTATTGATGCCTCGCACATTTTGAAGCATCCACATCGTGCTACCCGCCCTGATCATATCGTTATAATTCTGCGAGGACTTCCAGGTTTTTATTTTATTTAGTCCTATTTTTTATGTAAATTTTCATCATTTAATTCATGATTTAATGCCTCTTTATTTATAATCTTTTCATTGTTTCTGGGAATGCAGTTGAGCTTGTTCAAAGCTGACTAATTATTTTATTTGGATTAAAATGCCATTGATTTGTATTCGAGAAATTTGGCACCTCCTGTACATATTGACTGTGTACATGACTTGAAAATTTATGAAAGAAACCTAAAAAACTTTCTGAATATGCCACTCTGAAGAATTTTATATTTTACCATGCATAGTTCATTTGTACTTTTACTCTCTTGTTTCAACATATTTTGAAACTGAAAATGAATTGGTGTGCTTGTGGATAGTCTTTAAGCTTGAGTCAGTATATTTACTTTCAGTGTAGTTACAAATATCGGTATATGCTTATCGATTTAGCATAATTTATCAGTTAATCTCTAGTACACTTTTAGGCAGATTGATCTAATATGGGGGTAAGAACATTGTGAGAAATCTAGATAAATATTAATTTGCTTATGCAAAAAAGGGATTGGCATATCCCCTTCAAGAGTAGCTTACAGGATGTTAACATATCTTTAATAAAGCTTTTTACTGTGTTTTTTGAGACTTGAATGGCTATTCAGATCTGCACTTGTCCATTATTTCATCTTTTCAAACATCTCTTTATGTGTTTGAAGGCCATATCTTGCAAGTTTGTAGGGAAAGGATGTGATTCATTTGCCATGACAAAAATTGAATTTTATGTAATGCAAGAGCCTATCTATAATATACCATTTTTGAGACGTTACAGTATTTTATTATATTTTCAGGTGGCGGAAAGAGCTACTTGGCAAAAATGCTACGCGATATAGAGGTTGAGAATGGTGGTAGTGCTCCACGGATCCATTCCATGGATGATTATTTCATGACTGAAGTTGAAAAGGTACTTATAGTTTTCTTATTAGTCATTCTCTAAATGGAACTTTTGATCTCTCAGCTAGAAAAGAAGTTCTCATTGAAAAGTGAGTCATTTCACAATCAATTGTGGAAGACATGCATGAACTGGATCTAAGAACTATTTTCTTGTTAACTTACAGGTTGGGGAGAGCGAGGGTTCAAAACCTTCTGGTTCAGTTCGTGGGAAAAAAACAGTCACGAAGGTCATGGAGTACTGTTACGAACCTGAAATGGAAGAGGTGACATAAGAAATCTTGTACTTCTGCTATATTTATTAGCTTAATATATGTCTGCAGTGCATATGTAGTGACCTTAGCTTTTATCCCGGCAGAGTTTTTCCCCTTTTTGTTGGTAAAAACTAGTTGATCTTTGCCTAAGTTGACAGAAAAAGGTTTTATCGTCAATTTGATTCTGGTTGACAGTTGAATTTTACTATTGCTGTGGAGTTCGAAATGAGGTAAACTAATAGCCAAAATGTATCAGGAAATGTTTAAAAAGACTTAATCTGGTGAATCTTGAATGTGCATAATAAACAATGAACCATTTAAAAATTATATAGAAAAACCAATTAACAAAATTAAAAGTTTTACTTGCAAACAAATGTAAAATTGATCAACAGGATAGAAAATAATAAATTCTCAAATTTGTAATCATAAACAAATCATCCTCATCTCTATAAGTTTCTTGTCTTTCTTTGTCATCCTCCTCCTACAATGGTGCGTTCTCCTTTTCCTTCCGTGTAGGTAGAATTAGAAAAAAGAAGAATAAATCTAGATGTACATTCTAGTTGACATTAAGGATGTCATTCCCTCTTGTATGTCAAAATCCGGCTAGTGATGTGAAAGGATGTGGTAAAAATCAATGGCTCTGATCAAGGTTTAAAAATGCTAAAGTAAGTACTGAGGCAGTTTTTCTTTAGGAGGCGATGCGTAAGCCTCGAGGCGGATTGAGGCGTCAGTCTCACAAAAAAACAAAAAATTTAAGTAAAAGAATTAAAAAATAATACAAAAATACAAAAAATTCAAAGTTGGAGTATATAGTAAATAGGATATATAGCCATTAGCATATTGAGATATAGTCCGCCTAAAGAAAGAAGATATTTAGCAAAACAAATTGCAGTACAGAAGTTAGAAATCACTCAATTTGCAATGGAAAAAAGAAGTAGCTTAAACTAAAAAAAGACTAATAGTCTACACTATCGTCACTATTACTAGCATCGTTAATGGAATTATCATCATATCTAATTTTCCTATCATCCTCTTCTTCGCTACTCTCAATTTCTACAAAAGGCAATAGTAAGGCGCGCCTTGAGGCTTGCGCCTCAGATTTAGAGGCATGAGCCTCATATTTTTAGCCTTAAAAATACCGCCTCGAGGCATACTACATGCCAAGGTTTAAAAAGACGAAACAAAGTATTGATACAGTTTTTCTTTATGAGGCGAGGCTAAGCATCGAGGCGGATTGAGACGTAAGCCTTACAAAAAACAAAAAAGCTAAGTAGAAGAATTATAAAATAATACAAAAATACAAAAAAAAAATTTGGAGCATATAGTAAATATGATATATAGCCATTAGCATATTGAGATATTATCCACCTAAAGAAAGAAGATGTTTAGCAAAAAATAAAAAAATTACAAAAGTTAGAAATCACTCCATTTGCAATGGAAAAAAAGAAGCAGCTTAAACTAAAAAAAAATAATAATTTAATTGTCTGCACTATCATCACTATTATTAGCATCGTTAATGGAATTATCATCATATCTAATTTTCCCATCATCTTCCTCTTCGATACTCTCAATTTCTGACTTTTGAATTTCTGTTGAATTTGTTCCTTTTGGTCCTCTAATTTCTAGCTGCCATTTAGTTTTCTAGGTATTTTATTGTTTTGTTTGGGCCCAAAATGCCTTTTTAAATGAGTCATTTTCTTTTTTAAGAAAGGTCCTTTCTGATTTCTTTTCATACAATTGAAAAATCAAATTTTAAATGAGGCGCATCTCATGCTCCATGAGGCGCGCACCTCAGATTTAGAGGCGTGAGCCCCATATTTTTGGCCTAAAAATACCGCCTCGAGGCATATTATATGCACCTCATAGTGAGGCGGGTCTCAAGGCGCGCCTCACTACCGCCTTTTTAAACCATGCGTACATGTGCCTCACTACCGCCTTTTTAAACCATAGCTCTGATGGATGCCGTGTCAAAGAATGTCAAACTTAACGTAAAAGTTAATGTACACGTAGCATGTTTGAAAAAAGAAAATAGAAGACCGTGTGAAACGTTCCAGGTTATAGCCCAAAGAGCTAAGGCCAGGAAAACGCAAGACAAGTGGGCAAACAAACGTACCAGGAAGCCTATTATGAAATGATTCAGTTGGCATGCCTTACCTAACTGGTGGTGGCCTGTGCATCATGGAATTAGTTAGGACAATGAACAAATGTTCTAAGATGACTTATTTTACAATTCTCTCTGTATTTTGTTTGAACTATATGAAAGGTCTTCTCCCGCCAGTGTCGATGTTGGTAGAGGATAGTTTACTGGTTTAACATAGAAGTTGTTTATTTTAATGAGTTATCGTGCTTTAATATTCTTCTTTTATCTTGGTCTTGTTTTCAGTGTAACTTAATCATTTCTGCTGTTTACATTATTTCTATCTATCAGGCATATCGATCAAGCATGTTGAAGGCATTTAAAAAGACCCTTGATGAAGGGGTTTTCTCCTTTGTAATTGGTATGATATTCCTGTGGAGAAAATGCAATTTAATTTTTATTTATTGTTTAAATGCTTAATTCTCTCTCATTCCATACATACTCTTGAAGGCATTGGCGGGGTAATTAGCACTATTTACTTTTTTTTTTTTTTTAAATGCAATGGCGTGCACTTTGATTAAGGGTTTTGTTATTATTTACTGATATTCCTGTTTCTATTTAGCGACACAAGTCGGTGTTAGTTCAGTTGTCTTCTCATGGCATTAGGGGTGGAGCTAAAGATTTCTTCTTTGAAATTTAACTGTATTTTTTGATAGATGACCTAAAGAACAAATTGTGTACTTATGTTAGAAGCTAGATTGTCCACTAAAAAGTTCAAAGGCACAGTCTTATTGTAGATGAAGTTATGATGCAGTGCTTCTGCACTGCTTTCAATTTGACTAACTACAGATGCAGTTTTGTTCGGATATTAACCCTTTTCTTGCTGGTATTTGTGCCTCGTCTTAGTGGATGACCGCAATCTGCGGGTAGCTGATTTTGCTCAGTTTTGGGCAACTGCAAAGGTATACGTCTTATTCTTTTTTATATGGTCTGTGTGCGTTCTTGGTCGTGGGGGTACTCTGGAGGGGCATGAGTTTTGGTCTTGTTATGGAGACGTTTATTAAGTACTGCATGCAATGTAGGTTGTCAATGGTTATGTCTCTCAATTCCATTTTCTGTCTTCTTTTTTAGGTCTTTCATTTATTTCTAAAACCTGTTCTATATTTGAATATCAAATATAGCTTTTAAATCCCCCGATTCTGTACAGCTTCAGGAAGTTGAACAGATTAATCCATTCAATTTCTATGATATTTCTTGATATGCTATTTTTGATTGGTATCCTTTATTCTGTTCTTTTTTTCTCCCGTTGTTTGGTATCCAAATTTATTTCTCATTTTATACATTGTTTCATTTTCTGACATTTGTGTATTACTGTACATTTGCTTCTTGCTATTCTAGTGAAAAGAGAACTACCAGTATCATTTTGACCTTACTTCGCAATGACTAGTTAAGCTAACGTTGGTTTTGCCTTGTGATATATCTCTTTCCAGTGTTGTTCTTTTATTCTGTGAACATATTTGCCAATATTAGTAATGCATGTAAGGAAAAGCTTCTGTACTTTCACAACATCCTCTGATAAATATTATCTCGCTGGTTTCCATCAACTTTACAGCTGTAGTATGAAACCTTTTGCATCAGACAGGATGCAGAAAGGTTATTCAGGAAATCGTATCGAAACAAACTGACCCAATGGAAAATTAAGAAAAGGAGTGCTTAATTATAGAAGAGTGAAAGACATTCTAAAACTTCTCTGTATATGAAGTTCTTGGCCATGTTGATCTCCTTTCTAGTGTAAAATAAGATTTATTCTACTTGTTTGGCAGTTATATTGGTATGCTGTGCCTTTTATTGTTAACTTTCATTTTTGTGAAGTTGATTATTGGTGGTCATGAAGTTCTTATAGCTTTGACTATTCTATGGCATCGGTTTAGGTTAAATTTTGTTTGTTTGGGTAAGCTAGATTTTATGCAGTTGAGAATATTCATCGGAGTTTATTATATTCAAACATTTCAAGAAAAGGTTTGGACAATTAGCCCCTATTTGGCCCCCCATTTTGGGGAGTTGAGAATTTTTGGAATAGTGATTGATGGGAGAATGTGTGGTGGAAAAGTAATGAAAAGTTTTAGATTTGTGTGTAATATTATTTTATTTGATGAATGTGTGGTTGAAATGAAGAGAGAAAAAAAATTAATGTAATGGAATTTAATTTAATGGGGCTCAAACGGGCTAAAACTCTTCTTCAAGAAGCTGCTTTTTTACAGAATTTTCTTGAAATCAGAAAAGTATAATGTAATGGAAAAAAATGGGAGCCAAAAAGGGCTTAGTATCACCTCGAGTGATGGTAATGGAAAATAACTTCTTTTCTCCTCGTATATATTACATTGTTATCACATGTCAAGTCTTTTGATTGATAGCTATGAATATTGAAACAATATTTCTTTTTCCGGTTACTGATGGATGCAGCATACTCCAGTCTAACTTGGAAGATATGTTCCCTTGAAAACATTCATAACAGTTGGCATTCTAATTCTTGCAAACTGATGTAATCTGAATGATATTATGGATTTGTTAATTTTATTATATAATGCTCATAGCATGCCATGCTGTGGCCATTTGGATCTTCCCAATTGGTGTACATAATTTTACCTTTGTGGTAGGCATGTTGTTTAATGTTTTCACGTGCTGGTGGGTAATTAAACTCTCATTCAGTCATTTGATCTGCAAGCTATTGCTTCGGATGAAATTTTAGATAGGCTTGGCTGGATTGGGAAAACTTGACCTTTCTGTTATCCCTCTTTCTCATATGTCAGTGAGATTCATACTTCTACGATTTGCATATATATGGCGGTTTTATTATTCATTTAGACTATTTTTAACATATAAAGGGAAACATCTACAAAATTAGAACATGAAAAAACCTTCGCAAACGAAGCATGTCTGAAGTCATATTCCTTGCAACTGTTTCTGCATCTGCACTGCCTCTCTCTCTTGGTTATATCCTGTTTTTGCCACACTCTTGAAAGCTCACAGCTCAGTCATGTCAGTTAGTCAATGATTCCCTGCTTAACCCATCTTTTATTCAATTGCAGAGATCGGGATATGAGGTTTACTTACTAGAAGCCACATACAGGGACCCAGTGGTGAGTTTCTCATTACGTCTTTATTTCTTTGTTATGAAATTCGTGAAAGGACTATGCAGTGTGACGGGTGATCTTTCTTGTTTCATTTTTTGACACATGCACGGATGGCGAGGGCGAGGGAGCTTGATAGGATTTCTCATGGACTATTCTTGTTCTTTTTTTATTTTAGGGCTGTGCTGCGAGGAATGTGCATGGTTTCTCCCATAGTGACATACAAAAGATGGCTAATCAATGGGAAGAAGCTTCATCCCTGTATATGAAGCTAGACATCAAGGTATTCATATTTTATGTTCTCTTTTCTGTTCTTATATAGCTGTTATATTGTCGGAAATTTTTAGATTGAGTACCTTTGTTCTAATGACAATACTTGAATTCTAACATTAAATGTTTCGATGACATGGCAGTCGTTACTCCATGGATATGATTTACAGGAAAATGGCATCCAAGAGGTAAATTATAATGTTTACGGTTGTTAGGTTCCATCTTTATCTACGGATCTAAATGAGAAATTTTAGGAATAATATGATTAATAAGAAAAAAAAATGCATGGAGGACGAGAAGTTGCCCACAAAGGAAGAGAATATTAGACTCTTAAGTAACCAGAAGCATTTATTCTCTGTTTGCAAGGCTACTATAAGAAACAATTAATAAAGAGATTAGTCCTTTGCTTGACAATTATAATCTCTCACATGGCATCCCAGTTGATTTCTTATTTGTGGTGTCTTTCATGCCGCAACATAAAAAAATCGTACCATGTATTATTTTTTCCTAGTGTAGGCAAAGGGATACTTGAGATACTTGGAATACGAAATTCTGCGACTTCTTTATTTTTTGGTACTTGATTCGTTCGTGCTTTTCATATCTGATCGGCCAGGTTGACATGGATACAGAAGACGTTGATCACAATGTTGACCTCTCTGGTTCACAAGAAAGAAGCTTTGAAAAGTTCACAGGTCCTTCTGGAGAAGATCTTCCTTCTGACTGTATGTTTTTAATCCGTTCTTCCGTTGTTTTTTCCAATAATTTTTTTCCCGTTATCCATTCGTAATACACGTCCAACATTCTAGATTTAGAAAAATATTTTAAAAAGCAAGTGATGTTGCTAAGTTGCTTTTGGTTGCACTTGCAAAATCTGAAATTTATATCCGCAAAAAAGATGGTCACTGCCATGTATTTTTCTATTTAGATGACCTTGTTTTTGCTTGCTAAACAAATTATTTTACTCATTTTGTGAATTTATTTCAATTAATACTGAACCTTTGGTCTTGATGTGTAACACTTGCTTGTACACCCATAGAAATCACAATATCGTAAAATGGTGGTTTCTAATCCATGGGATGACACTGTTTCCAAAAGAAAAACAATTTGTTGAATTCTAGTCCATCCATATGGTCAGGCTTTGTTGAGATTGCTTTATTTATCTTTAATGTAGTTCACGCCAAATGTGAAATTTAGGTCCATCGAAAGATGATCAGAAATGGGACACTGCGGAAGATCGTCCTATGGAGGAAGTCAAAGAATTGCGAAAGAGTAAGTGGTCAAATGATTTGGACGAAGATTATGTTAAAAAGACTGAAGTGGCCCGAGGAAATTTAAATTCTCTTTCTGGTTTGATTCAATCTTACAGTAAGGAAGGTAAATCTGTGCGTTGGGCCGATAAGGTATGAATGATCTACAGAACAACCGATTTACTTCCTGCCACATAATAATTCTCAAGATGATCAAAGCTATAATCCTAATCATACCAAGCTAGGTTTTTTGTGCTGGTGTCACAATCTGTCTTGATCAATATGCATGTGTGATCATTGTTACATAATTAATGCAACCTTTAGGCTATAAATATCATGCTTTAGATTCATTTTGCAGGTTGGCAGCAGTGGATTTTCAATAGGGGCAGTGAAATTGTCAAACACGTTATCTTTAGTAATTGGTCCTGGTGCTGGATACAACTTGGTGAGATGCGGCTATTATTATTTGCTATTTATTTATGTTTTTTCAAGATTTTGAGACTAGAAAATACTCTGTATAATATTATAAATGTGGATTATCTTTGCTGAATGACCTCAAATTACATTGCTCTGGAGGGGTCCATTTGTTGCCATACAGGCATATATTTGTCTTGAAAAGCTAAGAATACTTCTCTCCGATGACTGTCAACTTGCTCGTGTGTCGTTTTATGCATAGCTTATATGTTTTCACTGATCGCAGAAGTCTAACCCGTTGCCCGACGAAGATAAGCTGAGTTCCCAGAGAAGTGTCAAATCAAAGAGGCAAAATGTATTCCAAGAACAATTACGTGCTGAGCGCGAGTCTTTCAGAGCTGTTTTCGACAAGAGGAGACAGCGAATCGGCAGGCTCGACTTGGATGAAGAATGACACTTCTCTTTATGTTAGTCGGCCCTTTTCTTTGGAATTTTGTCAATCATCATAAATTTTAGTATTATGCTATATTAGTGTAAATATGAGCAAACTTGCAGTCTAATGCTGGTAGGGACTGACGAGTTATTCTTTGTAACACCAAGGATACAGGCAGTTATAAACCAATGCAATCTATATAATGAATTTTTCAAACTATAGTTATATTGACTTTATTTGACAATTTGGAGATATTTTTTGTGCTTAATCATGTGTTTATGCACATGGGCTCTTAAAAAGATTTAAATGATTCCATTTCTTATATAAAAAATGATGAAATGTGTGGTTAAAAAGTTATGGGTGCTATAAAAAAAAGTAGTTGAAATTAGTTGTTGATTTTGACTATAACTAAAATCCTAGAATTTCCTGAAATTTTTGGCAATAAATAATTATTTTTTTTGAAAGTAATATGTTTTTTGTATATATAATTTAAGTTATCATTAATGCAAACTTATCAATAAAAAATCATATTTATAAATTAAATATATTAGTTCATCAAAACATTATAAATAAAATAAGTAAATTTATTTAATTTAAATTAATATCCAACGATCTTTGTATACAATGTATCAATTTATATTCTTATAGTTTAGTTTGAGCTAATTAACTACGTATAGCAATTTCATTTTTTATATCACCCTCATTTTGATGGTAAGGCATTTAGATGATAAGGCTTAAATATGGTCATGAGCTGTATGTGATATCAAAACCAAGGTTGTCAAAATCAGCCCGGTCTAGCCGGTTCGATCAGTAAAATCGGGAAACGGACCCAAAATCGGGCAAATGATGCCCGGTTAATTGATTATGACAAAACCGCTCAAAAACGATTCAACCGTAAACCGGTGAACCGGTCGCAATTTTGAGGGATTTTCTCAATTTTTTTTTTAATTTAAAAATTTTTGACTTAATGAATGAGCTTCATAAATAACAATTCTAAGGCCCATAGAGAATTATTGAATATCATACTCATTTTATAAAGGGGAAATTAAACTCACTACTCTAATAAAGAAGCCAATTAGATTAATGCACTTAACATAAATTTAAACATCTAATCACCATAATTTATACGTCCCAAAACCCACCTATTCAATTACATACACACAGAGACACAAAGACCTGGTTTCGCTCACGATTTTTTCAAATTTATCATCAACATCATCCCCCTTTTCTCCAAATTTCGATGGGCTTTGAAGATTAATTATATTCCAACATTATTCATCCACAAATTCTGATGACGTGCATAAGGAGTTAGAATTTATGATGAAGTGGGATCGCAAGGCAAAATAATGATTTCATGATAACTTTGGGTTTGTCCGTTTTTGACGAGTTAATAGTCTAATTTGAGTGGAAACGGGCCAAGGATCACAACTCATCGCCTTCGGCCATGACGTACGTCGGATTTCGGACAGATTCCATCGTTTAGGCTCTCGATCACGCGTTTTTGCCGTTTATGGTAATTTTTATTTTGGTAATATCTCATTGAATAAAATTCGGATTTTGATTCCGTTTGTTGGAGGACGATCCTGAATATTAGGAGTTTCCATTTAAGTTAGAATCTCGAATTTTTCCATTTATGGAAAAATATCGTTTTTTTTATTTTTATTATTTATTTTCCGAAATTTGCTAGGGTTTTGCTATTTAAACCATTGTAAGCCCTTCGAGGCAGGCATTATTGAATTGAATAAAAACTTTCGTGAGTTTATCTCATATTTGTGAGGTTTTTCATCTTTCCTATAATCTTCCGCTACGTCAGTTGGTATCAGAGCCGAAGTCGTTCCTTCACCATGCCGCCAAGGAGACGTCCAGAAGCTCGTGAAGTCCCAGTAGAAGAGGTACATAGACGTGATGAAATCACACAGCTGCGTCAACAAGTGGAGTTGCTGACACAGCAATTTGCTGCACTCATGCCGCAACATCATGCGCCGGTGGCCCCGCCGGTTGAGGATTCTGATGATGAGAATCCGTTTGCACAACCTGAGCATCCAGTAGATCTGCCAGTTCGACGGAAGGGGGGTGGTCAGGATGAGAACAGGCGTTGGGAATCAGGATTCAAGGTTGATATTCCTGAGTTCCATGGTGGATTAAGTCCAGAAGAGTTCTTGGATTGGGTGACTGCAGTGGAGGAGGTCTTGGAATTTAAGGAGGTTCCTGCTGATAAATGTGTGCCTCTCGTTGCGACGAGATTTCGTGGGAGAGCAGCAGCGTGGTGGCAACAGACTAAAGTGACGCGATCCAGGTTAGGGAAATCCAAGTTTATATCGTGGGATAAATTGAAGAAGCATATGAAGAAGCAGTTTCTGCCCTACAACTATGTTCGGACCATGTACCAGCAACTGCAGAATCTGCGTCAAGGCGTCAAAACGGTTAGTGACTATACAACGGAATTTTATATGTTGATTACGAGGAATGAGGTGATGGAGACAGAGGAGCAGTTGGTGTCACGATATGTGGGTGGTCTTCGTCCCCAAATACAAGACACTCTGAATATGTTTGATCCTGTGACAGTTTCTGAGGCATATCAGAGGGCATTACAGATAGAGAAACAACAGGCCAGGAGAAATACAGTTCCTTTTTCTGCAGGCAGTTCTTCCAATAATTTACAGCAGCAGATGACACGTCCTGGTAATCCTACTCAACCTGGTCCTCCTAGACCTAACCCTGTTCAACAGCCAGCGCGTCCTGGAGGTGGTATTCGTTGTTTTGCATGTGGTGGTACAGGTCATAGACAATCTGAATGTCCCAAGAATCCGCGCAGAGGACTCTTTGTTGATGAGAGGTATGACGATTATGAAGGTCCACCTGTATTTGACCATGATGACATCGAGGAAGTCGGAGAGGAGGAAGAGTTTGTAGTTGGTGATGTGGGTCAAGCGTTGGTGGTGAGGCGGAGTTTTCTGACTCCCCTGGAGAATAACACTGACTGGCTGCGTAATAATATCTTTCAGTCGACGTGTACTGTTGGGGGTAAGATATGTAGATTTGTTATTGATTCTGGTAGTTGTGAAAATGTGGTGGCTGAAGAGGTCGTTAAGAAGCTGGGTTTGCAGACTGAGAAGCATCCCAAACCGTATAAATTAGCTTGGTTGAAGAGGGGTAACGATGTAGAGGTGTCTCAGCGTGCTCGAATCAGTTTCTCCATTGGGCCTACCTACAAAGATCATGTATTATGTGATGTCGTAGAGATGGATGCGTGCCACTTGCTGTTAGGGAGACCGTGGCAGTTTGACCGCCATTCGCTGCATGATGGGTATACCAACACGTACAGCTTTCTGTTTGGGGGTAAGAAGATTGTGTTACTACCGGATAAGGGTTCAGTGAAAACAGTGGGAGACAGCGCCAATTTACTGACTAGAGCAAAGTTTGAAACAGAGATGGAGGAGTCTGGGGTCGTGTATGTGCTGGTGGGAAAGTCAATTGACAGCGAGCAGGAGGTTCCTTGTAGGGTTCAGCCATTGCTAAAGGAGTTTCATGAGGTCTTCCCAGGAGAGCTTCCAGATGGGTTGCCACCACTGCGGGATATTCAGCATCAGATTGACTTGGTGCCTGATGCTTCTCTGCCTAACCGGGCGCATTACAGGATGAGCCCCACTGAACATGAAGAGTTGCGTAGACAAGTGGAGGAGCTTCTGGCAAAAGGGCACATCAGGGAGAGTCTTAGTCCTTGTGCTGTTCCTGCTCTCCTTACGCCGAAGAAGGATGGGACGTGGCGTATGTGCGTGGATAGTAGGGCGATCAATAAGATTACGGTGCGTTACCGTTTTCCTATTCCTCGCCTGGATGATCTGTTAGACCAGCTTACTGGTGCTTGCGTATTCAGCAAGCTTGACTTGAAGAGTGGGTACCATCAGATTCGGATCAGACCTGGAGATGAGTGGAAAACAGCATTTAAGACGAGAGAAGGGTTGTACGAATGGTTGGTCATGCCTTTTGGCCTCTCAAATGCACCTAGTACATTTATGCGGATCATGAATCAGGCTCTTCGTCCATTCATCGGTAAATTTGTTGTCGTCTACTTTGATGATATTCTGGTTTATAGTGCTACCGATGATGATCATATCCAGCACCTTCGAGAAGTTCTTTCAGTTCTTCGCAGGGATCACTTTTATGCTGCAGTGCAAAAGTGTTCGTTTTTGACTGATCGTGTTGTATTCCTTGGTTATGTGGTGTCAAAGGAGGGGTTAGCGGTTGACACATCCAAGGTAGAGGCAATAAGCCAGTGGCCACAACCTAAAACTGTTACAGAAGTGCGCAGCTTTCATGGCCTTGCTTCATTTTATCGCAGGTTTATACCACATTTTAGCAGTATCATGGCACCTATTACAAATTGTATGAAGGATGGAAAGTTTCAATGGACCCCCGAAGCAGAGGCATCTCTTCAGTTGATTAAGCAGAAGTTGACTACTGCTCCAGTTTTGGTGTTGCCTGACTTTACCCAGCCGTTTGAGCTACATTGTGATGCCTCGAAGGTGGGTATTGGTGGTGTGCTGAGTCAAAACAACCGCCCCGTTGCATACTTCAGTGAGAAGCTTTCTGGTCCGAAGTCTCGGTATAGTACTTATGATGTGGAGTTCTATGCAATAGTCCAGGCAGTTCGACATTGGCGTCACTATCTGTTCCAGAAGGAGTTTATTTTGTATACCGATCATGATGCCCTCAAGCACCTTGGTACTCAAGATAAGGTATCTGCTAGACATGCCTCTTGGATTGCTTACTTGCAGCAGTTTACTTTTGTGATTAAGCACAAAGCAGGTGCCCTTAACAAGGTGGCAGATGCATTGAGTAGGCGCCAAACTCTCCTGACAGAAATGCGAGTGGAGGTTCCCGGTTTTGATGGTCTTTGTGACTTATATACTACTGATCCATATTTCTCCCATGTTATTCGGAAGTTGTAGGAAGGTGTACAATCGGAGTTTGCATGGGTTGATGGTTTCCTTTTTCATGGCAACCAGTTATGTATTCCA